GGTGGCCAGGGGTCATCCCTGTGACGCCGGGATGCCAAAGCAATAGTGTTCATGCAGCTCTTCCAGCCGAGGGATGTCAGTTTGACAGGGTCTGTCACAGCCTGAGGGGCAACCTGGAGGGACCATTGGCCAAGAGGCTACGGCTGCAGCTGGCAGTAGGTGTGCATGTTCCCGTGTGTGTGTGTGCGCGCGTATGTGTGCTGAGGACCAGTGTATTTATCCATATTAATCACTTTATCCATGTTTATGATGTTAAGGGTGAAGGTTAGTGGCACTTCAGTGATGATACAGAGCTATGTGAGGCAAGAAAGAGTAAGGATCCCCTTGCATCACATGAAGTTGACATTGTGTCCTCTGCTGTGGGAGTTGAAAGATTGAGTCACATCACAAAACACTGCAATATTTAGAAAAATAATTTGTTCTGGCCTGGGAGGAGCAGGAGGGTGGCTGGGGCATGAAGCCCATGTCAGGCAGCTGGTATCCGCTTTGCTGGGGAATTACAACTCCAGGTGGCTCTGTCTGACTTCTGTCCCATTCTTCTGACACTAAGAAAGGACAAGGAGCTAGACAGTTCTTGACACCCTTCTCTTCCTTCTCCACCAGCTGCTGCAACTGATTTGCCTTTTAAATGCTGAATTTTGCAAACCCCTCAGCACAAGGCAGTCTGTGGGGGTGAGGAGTGTCACCTCCACTGGCACTAAGCTGACCTGCCACATCAGCTAAAAATAGTTTCTCCTCCTGTGCCCTGCCAGGAAGGTGCAGGGCTCCCTGCTGGGGCAGGCTGCGCTGCCAGGGCAGGGCTGCAGGTGAGCCTTGCGCTCGTAGCAGGGTCAGTGGCTGGTACAAGCTGTGTGTAGCCTCTGCTTTGCACCCGGTGGCACATTAGCACATTGAGCTTGATGTGCTCCTGCACTGCAGCAGTGAGTGCTACAAAAACAGCGCATTCAACGTGTGCCTGTTGTGGCCTTCTGAGCCATTCCCACAGGCTCCAGCACCGCCAGCAGCTCCTTCCCACCCTCACTGGCTTTTCCAGCGTTGGGATCAGTTGATATCGAACTGGCTTATCTGCAGAAATCTCATCTGAACTGAGAAGACTTGTGAAACCTGAACCTCCACTGAGCCGCAGCTCCCCTTTCTTCCCCAGCAACAGGGAGGTCAGTCAGGAAATTCAATCTCCCTCACGGTCCAAGGGCTTGAGCAGTGAGGGGCAACTGAGAGCACATCTCTGGCAGATGTATAATGTACTCGTGACATATGTTCCAGAGGTGGCTGAAAAAGCAGGACTGTGGTCATCCATGGAGTGCTGGGAGGCTCGCTGGGTGTGCTGAGAGCTGCATGCCATTTCCACAGCTGGCAGTGCTGAGTGAGAAGGTTTGTTAATGTGGTGGTTTCACTTGTCTGCAGCCAAACACAGCTGCTCGCTCACTCTCCTTCCCCCCCCCAGGGAGCAGGGAAGAGAATTGGAGGTGTAAGGGTAAGGAGACTTGTAGGCTGAGATAAGAACAATTTAATAATTGAAATAAAATAAAACTTTAAATAATAATTATAATAGTAGTAATAATAAAAAATGCAAATGAGTGATATACAATGCAGCAGCTCACCACTCACTTGACCAACCCTGGCCCATTCTCATATAATGATCCTGAAGGAGTGACAATATAAAAAGACAAAAACCTCAATCCTGGAAGAGCGAGAGCCCAATCGAGAGCCACCTCGAGAGAGAAACTCTCATGAATATATTGAATATGATGTTATATGATATGGAATATCCCATTGGCACATCCAAATACCAACTGGGCTTACTAATTTTAATATTCCTCCCACCCAACCTTGCATCTGCAGACTAGCAAAACACAAAGACCTTCGGCTTCCAGTGACAATTGAAAACATTGGTATGTTATCAACATTCGTCTCATAACAAATCCCATACTGAAACCAAAACACAGCGCTAGTCTAGCTACGAAGAAGAAACCTAGCTCTGTCCCAACCAAAAATCAGGATAGTATCCACCCCTTATTCTGTAACATTTACATCATGCTCAGGTTTCACACTTCCTAATACATTTAATCACTACCTCTATTCTTTATACATATATATATATACACATAGATGTCATTCCCTTAGTTTATGGGCCATCTCTCCAAAATATGTATTGAGTTTATTAAGTCCATAACTTCGGGTTCCATCTGCCTTGACAATCTTTCAATGCAGGAAAGATGACCTGGAATCTGCAGAGTCAATGGAGCTGGTGTCATTGGGTACAGCAGGAGGATGGTGTATAGTCTCTGTTGCATGCTGCATACAGAGTTGGCGTGTCTGGTATGGTCCATGCCCAGGGTTCACAGGTTGAAGATGCTGATCTCTAAGAAGTTGCTGGGTGTGAGTTCTGGTTCCATCAGAATTCATACATCATTAACTTGGTGAATTCTTAATATAAAGCCATTAGTATAATGCACAGCAACCATAACAATGATGATGTGCAACTCATTGGCTATTTTCACCCAAAATCAAATCTCCTTGAGGTACACATTGGACTTCTCCATGTTTCTGGATCACCCACCAAGTGCATCCAGGTCCTTGAGCAAAAGCAATCCCACAAATGAGTTTACCGTTACCTGAGGCAGGAACAACCTAGACTGTTTTCCCTAACATATTTTTAATATGCACTACAGAGACTTTGTCCCCTTCTACAGTGCCTAAAAGTTTTGTTTGCACAGGCCCAGCTCAATTGAGAGATTCTCTGGTGTTGACTAACCCATTGCTTTTAGTGTAGTTTTTAGCAGCCCATTGCATCATTCGATTTTCCAGGAGGCTGGTGCATGGTAGGGGATGTGGTACACCCACTCAATGTCATGTTCTTTGGCTCAAGTGTTTATGAAATTGCTCCAGAAATGAGTCACATTATCTGACTCAATTCTTTCTGGGATACCATGTTGCTACAAAACTTGCTTTTCAAGACCCAGAATAGTGTTCTAGGTGGTAGCATGGGGTACAGCATATATTTCTAATCATCTGGTGGTTGCTTCCATCATTGTGAGTATATAAAATTTGCCATTGCAGGTTTATGAGAACATGATATAATCAGCCTGCCAGGCCTCTCCATATTTAAATTTCAACCATCGTCCTCCATACCAAGAGGTTTTAGCCACTTGGCTTGCTTGATCGTAGTGCAAATTTCACATTCATTAATAACCTGTGCAACAGTGTCCATGATCCACCCCTTGATCACCAGCCCATCTGTATGTTGTATCTCTTCCTTCATGGCCTGAGGCATCATGGGCCCAGCAAGCTAAAAATTTTTCTCCCTTATGTTGCCAGTCCAGGTCTTCTTGAGACACTTCGATCTTCGCAGCCTGGTGCATCTGTTGGTTGTTTTGATGTTCAGTTGCTCAGCCCTCGGGTATGTAGGCATCTACGTGACGTATCTTTACAGCTAGCTTCTCTAGTCAAGCAGCAATATCTTGCTGTAATTCAGCAGCCCAAATTTCCAACTGTCCATGAGTCAGTGCAGAGGTAGAGCACTGGCCACTTTTCTTGCTCAGCAATATCTAAGGCCAGTTGGATGGCTTTTACCTCTGCAAACTGATTTGACTCACCTTTTCCTTCAGCAGGTTCTGTGACTCCTCAGTGGGACTCCACACAGCAGCTTTCCACCTTCAGTGTTTTCCTACAATACGACAGGGCCCATCAGTGAATTTTCCTAAGTAATTTCAACATTATTAATCCCCCTGCTAATTTATTGTTACTAATATTTTTTCCTTTCCTTTCCTTTCCTTTCCTTTCCTTTCCTTTCCTTTCCTTTCCTTTCCTTTCCTTTCCTTTCCTTTCCTTTCCTTTCCTTTCCTTTCCTTTCCTTTCCTTTCCTTTCCTTTCCTTTCCTTTCCTTTCCTTTCCTTTCCTTTCCTTTCCTTTCCTTTCCTTTCCTTTCCTCTTTCCCCTCCCCTCCCCAGACAAAGGAAAATAGAGGTGCTGCACCTCCTGGAGTAGCAATCAGCAACTGAAGGTGCTGGGGAGTGGAGTAGAGGTGCTGCAGCATATAAAGCAGGTTATAAAGGCAGAGAGAGGCAAATGTACAGGCTCTTGGGGCAGCGAGGCTGGCTCAGGGAACCAGTGCGTGCTGCTGGGAAAGCGTGTCAGCCTCTGATGCCCACGGATCTGTCCAAGGCAGTGGGTCATGCTGGCAGGTACCAGGGCCAAGGATGGGTTGGAGGCCTCAGGTCAGTAGGAGCCCAAAATCCCCCAGGGTAGAGGTAGCTTCTCTTCCCATACTGCCTGCCAAGGTATGGTGGCCCAAACAATTTTTGGATGTGGGAATGTAAACAGCCAGGCTGTACCCTGTGAAGCTCTGCATTGTGTTTAACACCTAAAATTCACGTTTTCTAGGACAGAGCTAAGCAGGTAACTTGGTGCTCAGGGTCAGAGGGGGAGCCCTGCACAGCAGGCAACTAAGATGCATGATAAGAAAAACATCTTCCACAGTGTGCTGGACCCTTTGCTCTGCGTAATCAATTTGCCTCTTTGCTTCCATTGCCCAGGCAGTGCCAGACCTCACTGCTAAAGATCCTGACATTCAAACAACCTTTTTGCTTACGGTACCTAAAAGCCAAAGGCACTTTTGTCCCTGACGTGGAAAATTCGAGGGGTGCCTCACTCCCTTTGGTTTGCCCCAGATTGCTGCAGCCCAAACACTGGTGCTGAACATACAGATCACTCTCCTGCCTTTGCTCTTGTGCTCAGGATGGGGTAGTGGCTGTTGAAACACTTTTCAAAAATTAGTAATCATACCAAAAGCTGGTGATTTTTTTAATCCTCACCTCAGTCTTGGTTCTCTGTGATGTGCAGCAGTTAGTCTTCAATTAGCTGCCCCAGGTCGTTACGTTACATCTTGTGTGGGTATTTCATAGCCTGGTGAGGGTGTCTGGCAGGGATACTGGTGCCACAGGGTATGTTATTTCCAAATGCACGTAGGTGCCTCTCTCCTCTGGCTCTCCACCCCTGAGATGGCAGCACCCAGGGTCGCAGTGGTTGGTGCGGGAGTCATCGGCCTGTCCACAGCACTGTGCATCACAGAGACCTGCCCCAGCTGCTCCGTGACCATCCTTTCAGAGCAGTTCAGCCCCAACACAACGAGTGACGTCGCAGCTGGGATGCTCATCCCTCACACCTACCCAGGTGGGTGCAACCCGGCCTGGTGTTGCCCGTGGCTCTGTGTGTGGCTGTATGCCTGGGCGTGCAGTGATGAACAGAGGTTCAGGAAGAAAAGTACCATGCCCTGCGTTTCCCATCTGTCCCATCCCCTTGGCGCTGGCTTGTGTGCTTGTCCCCTTTGCATTTTCCTTCTCTGCATATTTGGTTTTGTTTACATGCAGGCACACCCACCCATGTGCAGAAGCAATGGTTCAAAGAGACCTTCACTTACCTTTTTGCCATCAGCAACTCACCAGAGGCGTCAGAGGCTGGCATTCACCTGGTCTCTGGGTAAGAACAGCCCCCCAGGACAGCCTTTGGTATGCATGTGCCATGTGCTGGAGCAAACGGAGCGGTTTTCCTTGCTGGAATTCAGGCATATTCCCTTCACGGTGTAGCTCTTATGACTCTACTCCCAAGAAACTGCATTGCAGCTGCTTAGGTAGGATTTATTTTCAAGCAAAATTAATACATAAGCATGCACAGAGAAACCACTCCAGAGGCCTGCACTAGAAGTCTTTTAATAATTGATGTTTTCCTCACTGCCATTCACCAGTTGCTTGCAGCAAGGGTGGTCCTCATAGGGATGGGACTGCAGGATCCTCCCGCTTCAGCACCTAGGTACAGGGATGCCATCGGGGTCTTTGTGCATTGGGGGTGTTTTATGCTGCTCATTATCTACACAGAAACTCACCTTTTGGGAGTGCTGAAGCTGGGCACTCCATAGCTTTATGGGTAACCAAAAAAATGTGAGCAGGTGTGCAAGTGGACTTACATGAAGGTCCAGCCAGTGTGGCTGCAGCCACGCTGGGTACGCAGCATGAAGGGGACTTTGTACTTCTAGAGCTGGAAGTTCAGACAGTATAACTGTGTGGTGGGTTGACCCTGGCTGGATGCCAGGTGCCCACCAAAGCTGCTCTATCGCTCTCCCTCCTCAGCTGGGCAGGGGGAGAAAAATATAACGAAAAGCTCGTGGGTGGAGATAGGGACAGAGAGAGATCACTCACCAGTTAGTGGCACGGGCAAAACAGCCCCTCTGCCTGTTTGCCAAGGTGGGTATTGCAGTAGCAGGCAGCAGTGTTTCCCCGTTGCTGTTAACCTTGCAGAGCTGCACTGATGAGCGGGAACAGGTTCCTGAGTTCCTGGGTTTGTGCTAAGATTGCTGTGACACAGAATATGGCAGAGCAATAGCAGCTGTTTTGCAGCTTTTTCTCTGTGTCCTTTTAGGTGGCAGGTCTTTAAAAACACTCCCAAGGAAGAGTTACCTTTCTGGTCAGATGTTGTCCTGGGATTTCGACCAATGTCCGAAGCAGAACTCCAAAAGTTTCCGCAGCACCGATTTGGTCAGGCCTTTACGACGCTGAAATGTGACTGTCCACCCTACCTGCTGTGGCTGGAGAAAAGGTTGGTTTTGCTGCAGGATGGGCACGCAGAGAGAAACCCAGGCAGAGGGACTGGGGGTGAGCTGGGGACTCCTTAAGAGCCTTAGATTTGAACAAAACTGGAAAAGACCTGTTTCTTACTGGGGAAAATGAAGCAAGCTCTTCCCTGGGGAGAAGCACAAGAAGTAAATACCAATTTTTTTCCAAAATGTGAAAGGCTCCACTTATCCAGTGTCCACTTTCTACCACTGTGGCTGCACAGCGGCGTTCAGAGTGGGAGTGCCCCTGGGTATAAGACTGACATAGCCACAGGGGCCACGCTTGGCCAGCCAGACCTTGAAGGTATGTTTGGAACCTGCCATGTCCTAAGAAAACCTGTGGGTGCTCCTCATTTGTCAAATTCCCCAAATAATATCCCTCTGTTCTTGAAGATACATCCAGCCCCTGAGAGAGTAGGCATGTCTGGGAACATGTCTTCTCTGTGAAGACTTTGCACTTAAGAAGTAGCTGCCAATTAATCTCAAATTTGGTCAACAATTGGAGTAATTTCTTAATCCAGTCAGGTGAAAAAAGGTAAAATAGCATCATCTTGTAACAAACACAGAATCACAGATTCACAGAATGGCAGGGGTTAGAAGTGACCTCTGGAGATCATCTAGTCCAGCCCCTTGCCAAAGTAGGTTCCCCTAGAGCAGGTTGCACAGGATCATGTCCAGGAAATTTTGGAAATGTTTGCCTGCATAGGATGGGTGATGTACTCAGTCCGAGGAGTCACGGCTTCAGAGTTCATGCTTGTATTGACATGAAAGTTAGAAAATTTGCCAATTTCCACATTTCCAGGTTTCCCAAAAAATACATGGATTTGGAGAACCGTAGGAGAGTCAGGATGCAGATCTAAAAAAAGGTTCTGACGCCTGTGATATACATTTAATCCATTTAAGTACCCCTGAAGTGAGCAAATAGCTGTCTCCACTTGAGAGAAAGCGATTTGGGGTTAAGTAAAGAGACGTGTACTGACGCCGTGGTACAAATTGCCAGCTCAGCTGGTTGCTTGGATGCCTTTCATCCTACTGCAAAGTTGAAAAAATGTTTCTTGTTCTAGCAGCCAGCCAAGTTGGGAGTGCTCCAGTGGCACCAGTGCCACATGAGGTCTATGCCATCTCCTCAGTGCACAGGCTCTGTCACGATTCATTGCCTAACCAAATTGGAAATTTCTGCTTAAGCACAAGTTGTACAACCATTTAGTATCTGCCTGCTATAGCTGCCTTATTTCTCAAAGGATGCAGTCTAATAAGATGATCATGCTCCTTTTCTTCCCTTCTCTCTGGTGATGAGAAGTGAGAGCATATTAAACATGTAACTAATTCTCAAACCCCTAGTGATTTGAGCAGTATTTATGGACCATTCTCTTGGCAGTCCACAAGGAAAATTGTTTTTGTGCCCACCTTGCTGGTCCAAAAATGCACTTCAGGAATTTTTTCCTGCTTTCTTGCCTGAATTCAGGAGTTTCCAGCAGTTTTTTTTTATTGGTATATTTTTTATGACATGATGGCAGAATCCCAGTTACAATGCTTAGGAGCTCTCCCAACAAGTTGCCCAGCCAGACCTGCTGCGTGAGACTTCCCCACTTCTTCCCAGCCAGCCTTGGCATCCTTCTGCACCCAAACCTCAGCCCCCAGAGCACAAGCTGTGCCTGGGATCCTCGGCTCACTCACTGCTTTGTGGGGAACCACTGCCTTTATAGTGGGGTTTATCACTTTGCCAGCTACCAGACAACAGCAGAGGACAGGACTTCTCACTTACATGCTCATTGCAAATCTGTCTCCTGACTTGCTTATGCTAAAACCCCCAGGAACTTGTTCATGCTAAAACCTCCCCAGCCACTGGATCCAGATGTCACCATGTGGTGACCCCACCTCATGCCAATGTTTCTCCATGGGGAAGGGTATCAAGCTTCAGGCAAGTTCAGGGTGGAATTTGGCTTGAAATTGAGCTCAAAGGTGAACCTCAAGAAGGGATGAATTTTACTGAAGAGCAGATATGGATGTGTAGTGCTCTGAGCTGTCCTGGGTGACTCCTGGCTGCTGCTCTAGAAAGGTGTGGGTATCCTGGGGGTCCCATGCCACATCTGCCCAGCCTGTGGGGTGATCCTGGGTACCCCAGGGCTTCACATGTGGCACTAGATGACTAAGTGGCTCCTGGTATCAGGGGAGTGAATTAGGAATGAATGCAACAGTATGTAATAGGCACATTAAAAGGGATGTAGAATAATAGCAATGTCACTAGCAGAAGTACCTTGGTGAATAAATCTGACATTTTTCAGCTTGCTTGAGCTGTTAAAGCTTGGTACAGTTATAGAAATTGATCACTGAGATCATGAGGACCTTTCTGTTGTCTAGAGTCTTATACCAGACCCTTCTCCAATATTGATCAAGTTGCTATATCCTAAGGCTATACATAGCCTTAAGGCCAGGCTGGATGAGGTTTTGAGCAA